ATCACATCAGATAACACAATCATACAATACTAGGAATCATGACCTAGCCAAGTTGCTACCCACATTTTTTGGGGGACACAATTCAATCCATGACATGGGAGGAGATCACCAAGTTTTTTTTCCCATGGAGCCCCTGGAGGATTTGAATCATCTATCTTTTGATTAGTAGCCCAGTGCTTAACCATTGTGCCACCAGGGCAGGGCTCCTTCTTCAAAAATATGCATAGATATATCCATCCAACATTTTCCATATGATTTCAGCGGAAATCCCTGACTTAAAAGTAAACGTGAGGTATCTGCATTTACAAAAGTCTAACGTGTATTTTCAGCCTTAATATCATACGCCCTTAAAATGTATGCAAAAACATCTAGACCAGTGGTTATCTACCTAGCTGCCCATTAGAATCACCTGGCGAACTCTTAAAAATGATGATTCCTGGGCACATGAATTAATTAGAATTTCCAGGGTGACAGCATCAGTATTTTTAAAAATCTCCCTAGTGTGATTCTAACATGCAGCCAGGGTGAAGAACGACGGGTCCACGTAAATTCTTTCATTTTATGATTGAGGACACCGAGAGGCTTTTCCCAGTCCAAAACCCATTGCCATTGAGTCGATTCTGACTCATGGTGACCCTGTAGGGCAGAGTAGAACCACCCCATAGGGTTTCCAAGGAGCGGCCAGTGGATTTGAACTCTCGACCTTTTGGTTAGCAGCCAAGCTCTTAACCACTGTGCCACTGGGGCTTCGAAGGCTTTACCAGTGGTTCTCAAACTTGGCTGCACATTGGAATCACCTGGGAGAACTTTAAAAAGTAATGCCACCGGGGCCCTACACTCAGGGGTTGTGATTTAATTGATACTGGGGTGTGACCTGGCCATGGGGAGGCAGTGTGTTTAAAGCTTCTCTTGTGATTCTAATATGGAGCGAAGTTTGAGAATCACTGAGCTATGGAAATGGCATGAAGAGACACAGGCGTCTTTCTAAATGACCCTTGCTGTCGTTGATTTCGGTGTAACCTAACTTGGTATTATTATTGGCTTTGTGTGGAGTATTTTTGTTTCCCTGGATTTGGAGTCAGGCTTCTCTAGAGCCTTGTCTGTGACTCTGGAACTTCAGGCCACTTTGGCATCAAAGCACCCCTGGGACTCTCTCCTCACCCCTCTGGGCTCCAGTTTTCTTTCGTTCACAAGCAAGTGAGCTCGTTCACAGCCGCTGAACCCAGACTAATAAGTGGACAGTCTTGATTTGCCCTTAAATACCCTTCATTGGGCAGGAAGACCTGTCATTTCTCCCAGTTTCTGTATATATTCTCTCTTCTCATGAGCTGAGAAGGAAAGCTTATACTTACATGATTCATATCGGAGTTTTGAGAAATCCCTCCAACTGGAGCTGTCAACTGTTTTTTTTTAAGAGTCAGGAATTGTTTCCCTGGCTCAGAAAGCATTCTCAGTGTTGACCCTTAAATTTAAAAGCAATTTTGCAACAAGCTGCATCTTCTACAGCTTATAACTGACAAGCGCTTTTCCAAATAGCTGCTATCCTTTGCCACAAAGTATTGCAATTTGAACAGTTTAAACAGAACTTCAGGTAAGTGTTGAAAGTGGAGATTTACTGTGATTTTGCCACTCATCATATCAACAAACCACCGATTATGGAAGTAAGATAGCAAGAGTCTTTCGGAAGGATATTAAGAAAGGGATCCATAAATAGGAGGAGGCATCACAGCCCAGTGCTTGGCTGCTCAGAATGTGGTCCATGGATCAGCAGCATCAGCATTGCTTGGGAGTTTGTTAGAAATGCAGAGTCTCAGGCTCTGCCTCACCTGCGTCTGCATGTTAGCAGGACCCCTCAGCAATTAAAGTTTGAGAAGCACTGGAAGAGCATGGCCTGTGAAATATATCCCCCGATTTTGTTTTTTAACCCTATCACTTACTAGGTATGTGACCTTAGACAAGTTACTTTGCCTTCGTGAGTTTCCTCGTTGGCCAATGATGCTAATAGCACCTGCTGCTTAGAGCTCTTTTAAGGATGTAATGAGTTAAATCAAATAAGCACTTCAAACAGGTCCTGACACTTAGCAAACACTCAAGATTAGCCATGACCGTGCTATGGAAGTCTATCCACAAGGCGCAGCAAAAAAAAAAGAAAAGAATCGAACGA